CTGGTACTGGTGTTGGTACTGCCACCAATGTAGCTCCCACCTATACCGGTGGTGTTGGTACTTATGGAGGTCAACAACGCTACGTTGCTCCCACCTCTACCGGTGGTGTCAGTTCTTATGAAGGTCAAGGCTCCGTTGGTACTCCCACATTCGTCCCACAAGCTGAACTCGAAAAGGAATTCTATACTTACACCGCCAATGATGCTGATTTCAATGAACCCGCCAGCTCTGACCAATATGCCAACTCCTTGAAGAAGGGTCTCCGTGTTATCTTCATCAAGGGCCCCGAAAACAGTGGTTTGGAAGATGCCGCCGTGGCTTTGGCCAAAAATGCTGCCCAACAAGAAACCGCCATCTATGTGCTCAACAAACAAGCCGACCTTTCCAGTTTGGCCAACAAACTTAACACCATCAACACCGGCAACAACAACAAACCCGAAGTTCACTTTGTCAAATACCGTACTCCTGAAGATGCTGCCAACGCTCAACGTGCTATCCAAGGTCAATACGATAGTTTGGGTGGTCCTTCTCACAGCATCAATGGTGGTGTTGCTCCAGTCATCAACTTCGCTTCCCAAGTTCCCGTTGCTCCAGTCCCAGCTCCATCTACTCCTGGTGCTAGCTACTTGCCTGCTTCTATCTTCCGTCAATAAGAAGACATCGTTATAGTTGCATATCCTCAGACTGATATGTTTAGTTATAACCTTTTTTGTTGATAGATTTGTAGATTAAAAAATAAATTGTTGATTTTTTTATATTAAATAATTTGTGAGTTTATTTGAAGTGGCAGGCAGATGTAATAGGAGAAGTGCAACTTTCTACTAAAATCCGACATAGGCGAATATGGCTCCTGGAAAATGTGCAGGGAATATTTCCCATTGGACTCCACTGAGCGTCCATTCGATTTCACATAAGAGATGTAATTACAAAAAATACATACAATAGCTACAAATGAAGATATGAAGTTATCTTTTGGGGATTTCATCTCTAATAGAAATATTCTACCTCCAGACCCTGGCCTTGATTGTATCGCACAGTGTAATTATTAGCTGAATCGATCTAGTTATGTGTGCCCTCCGTCTGCCCATTTTACTTTGTAATCGAAGTAGAGGCCGTAATTATGGAACAATCGCCAAGACATTTTGTATGCTGAACAAGGAGGACACCTCTAAGTTTTCGTAACAATTGGCTAATAGTTAAAATAATATGTATATATATAACACGGGAAGGGGTCTGCCAAACGAATAGGTATGGTTGTTTTGAAAATGTTAGCGGGCCCAATGGACCAAATTTTTACGTGAAAACTAAGTCTCCGTTCATACTCTATTACTATAGTCTCGAAAGTTTGGACATTTACTAAAGTCACGAAAGTTTGAACAAAAGTCCGGTTCTGGCCAAAGAATTTGCACATTTTTCTGAATATATTGTTTGGTGGAAATGAAATCCATTATTTTTATATGAACTATAGGGCTTTATTTAACATGCTTCGGAATGTCCAATTTGGGCCAAATATTCACTGCTTTGTTGTATATTTTGTTGCCATTTTAAAGTTAACTTCATAATGCTTCTCCCATCGAAGTCCTGCTCTCTGTTTGCAAACAACTCTAGTAGTCGATTTTCACAATCCTCCCTAGATACCAATTTTTTATCATTAAAGAAATTTTGCAATGCAAGAAAAAGATGATAATCGATTGGTGTCAAGTCCGGACTGTCTGGCGGATGCATTAAAACTTCCTAACCAATCTCCCGAAGTCACGACACCTCTCTTGTTGGCCAATTCTGGCCGTTTCTGGTCAATTATAAATGATTTAAAACAGTTTTATGGTTGATTTTAGCTCCTGGGCGATGATACGACTGCTAACAAGCCTCTCAACTTCGAACATTTCTCCGATTTTATCAACATTTTCGACGACCGGCCTATCTGTGCGAGTTACATCTTTAACATCAAAAATTCCTACACGGAATCTATGAAACCGAAATTGCATATAATTGGCTGTTACAGTATCGGAACCATAAACACCATTTATAATTTTAGCCACTCGGCTCTCATTTTCGCCTTTGTCAAAGAAAATTTTTAACACCCTGTAACTCACAACTGAATGCACCAAAAAAAAAAAGGTAAATAATTTTTTACTGCGAAATTTCACCCTTCCAACGAGCATAAATCTGAAATTGTTTGATCGGTACTTTAAGAGAAATCTATCAGTTCAGCCATCTGGCGTACAAATAATGGAGGACATAGACCGGAGAAGTTAACTGTATATCCAAGATGTATAGTTGAAAAAGTGACAGAATTTGCATATTATGGCGTATATGTTCACATCGGGAAGACATGAATTGATTAATTGTATTCGTGTCTAGAATTAGAGATTTTTTGTACATCAATTCTTGTAAATTTCTATATTTTGTACCAAAGCTTTAAACTAATATCTGACTGAACTTCATATGCGTCCACAAGTCGGGTGAAATTATATGCGAAAACTATATATAAATCTGAAGCGATTTTCTATAGGTTCTTGGGTTCAATTGAGGACAAATTACGATCTGTGCTGTGTTTACAATAATAAATGTTCAGACAGACGAACTCAATTCTCTTATAAAGAGATTCAACGTGCCTTCAAGTAACTGTGGGCAAACCGTAGCCAAACGCTAATTTATTACAATTTCCGAAACCTCCATAAACAACAGGAGTAGTTTATGATTTGTCAATATTAATTTAGCAAAAAATAACAAGAAGTACCTCTTTCGTTTTTATACCCTTCACCACTCTGTGGTACAGGGTATTATGTCTTTGTGCATATGTTTGTAACAGGCAAAAGGAAACGAGATAGACACATGGTTCCTTTTGAGAATATGCATAGAATCACTTTCTGAATCGATTTATGCATGTCCGTCCGTCCGTCCGTCTGTCCGTCTGTAGATGTTAAATTGTAAACAAAGTACAGGTCGCATTTATGATCCGAATGGGATGAAATTTGGCATAGGTCACTTATTCGGCCCAAGGACGAACCCTATTGAAATTGGGAAAAATCGGTTCAGATTTAGATATAGCTCCCGTATATATATTTAACCGATTTAATGTAAACGACCCCTATATATCTTTCGATTTGTACGAAATTTGGTACAGCCTAATCATTTAGGTCTAGAATGATGTCTGCCAAGTTTCGTGAAAATCGGTCCAGATTTAGATATAGCTCCCATATATAGTTTCCTCCGATTTCATGTAAATGGTGCCCCAAAGTCCCTATATATCTTTAGATTTGCACGGAATTTGGCATAACGTACTGAATCAAGCCTAGAGTGATGTCTGCCAAGTTTCGAGAAAATCGGTTCAGATTTAGATATAGCTCCCATATATAGTTTCGTCCGATTTCATGTAAATGGTACCCCAAAGTCCCTACATATCTTTCGATTTGCACGAAATTTGGCATAACGTACTGAATTGAGCCTAGAATGATGTCTGTCAAGTTTCGAGGAAATCGGTCCAGATTTAGATATAGCTCCCATATATAGTTTCGTCCGATTTCATGTAATGGTGCCCCAAAGTCCCTATATATCTTTTGATTTGCACGAAATTTGGCATAACGTACTGAATTAAACCTAGAGTGATGTCTGCCGAGTTTCGAGAAAATCGGTCCAGGTTTAGATATAGCTCCCATATATAGTTTCGTCCGATTTCATGTAAATGGTGCCCCAAAGTCCCTATTTATCTTTTGATTTGCACGAAATTTGACATAACGTACTGAATTAAGCCTAGAGTGATGTCTGCCCAGTTTCGAGAAAATCGGTCCAGATTTAGATATAGCTCCCATATATAGTTACGTCCGATTTTATGTAATGGTGCCCCAAAGTCCCTATATATCTTTTGATTTGCACGAAATTTGGCATAACGTACTGAATTAAGCCTAGAGTGATGTCTGCCAAGTTTCGAGAAAATCGGTCCAGATTTAGATATAGCTCCCATATATAGTTACGTCCGATTTAATGTAATGGTGCCCCAAAGTCCCTATTTATCCTTCGATTTGCACGAAATTTGGCATAACGTACTGAATTGGGCCTAGAGTGATGTCTGCCAAGTTTCGAGAAAATTGGTCCAGATTTCTATATAGCTCGCACATATATAGCTCACATACTTTAAGTAATTGACGCACCAAGGAACCAATAGGAACCAAACGTTCTGAAATTAGTATAACCTAACCTGTGACAAGTTTGCTTGAAATCGCTTAATATTTGGATGGAGCTTCCATATATATTTTCGCATCAAACTCCTCATGTTAGTCAGATTCACATCAAATTTTGCACAACGTACAAAATTGAGCATAGAATTACGTAGTTGCGTTTTCTAGAAGTACAGACATAGCCCCACGTATGACCTATTTATATTTGTTTGAAGTCGATTTACATACTTTATGGATATATCTAGGTAGATTCACATTTAGATAAATATCACATATATTATTTCATCGAATTTCATGTTAATAGTCCTGTTTAATATACCCATAGTGGTGAAGGGTATCATATAGTCGGCCCCGTCCGACTTTACTACTTTCCTTACTGGTTTTGTTTTGTTTTACAAACTTAAATTTTGCATTTAAATCAAATTTTGCATTGATTAAAAAAAAACTGCAACAAAAAAACCATAAACAACCAAAGTCGGTCTAAACTCCCACACAATAGCAACCAATAATAACAACAAACTATGTGGTAGGTCAGGTTGATACATAATTTTGCATTATTTAATTCTTTTGGATCACTTTCGAAACATTGACATTGATAAAAAACAATAAAACTGTTATAAAAATGCAGTTTTACATTCAAAATCGATTTGTTTCAAATATTTCCGATTTCCAAATACAAAACTGACAATATTTTAGAAAGAATTGTATCTCTTGCTATTATATATTGTTAAATGATATAAAAGACTGCAGTTGTGCCAAGAATAATCATTAACATTCGATCATCTGTTCGAGAGTGAGAGATAAATCGGAATATCGAAGAAAATGCGTGCCTTTATTGTTTTGTGTTTGGTGGCTGTTGCCTGTGCCGATAAGTTGGGATACAACTATCAACCCGTTGGTCACTCATCGTCTGGTTTATCATTCACTCCCGGTACTGGTGTTGGCTCTGCCAGTAATGTAGTTTCCAGCTATACCGGTGGTGTTGGTTCTTATAATGGTCAACAAGGCTCCATTGCTCCCAGCTATAATGGTGGTGTCGCTTCTTATGAAGGTCAAGGTTCCAGCGGCGTACCATCCGTTGCCCCACAAGCTGAACTTGAAAAGGAATTCTATACCTTCTCTGCCAATGATGCTGATTTCAATGATCCCGCCAGCTCCAACCAATACGACAGTGCTGTGAAGAGAGGTATCCGTGTTATCTTCATCAAGGGCCCCGAAAACAATGGTTTGGAAGATGCCGCCGTGGCTTTGGCCAAAAATGCTGCCCAACAAGAAACCGCCATCTATGTGCTCAACAAACAAGCCGACCTTTCCAATTTGGCCAACAAACTTAACACCATCAACACCGGCAACAACAACAAACCCGAAGTTCACTTTGTCAAATACCGTACTCCTGAAGATGCTGCCAATGCTCAACGTGCTATCCAAGGACAATACGATTCGTTGGGTGGTCCATCTCATAACTTCAATGGTGGTGTTGCTCCAGTCATTAACTTTGCTTCCCAAGCCCCAGTAGCTGATGCGCCAGCTGCTTCTGCCCCTGGCGCCACCTACTTGCCCGCTTCAGTATTGAAACGCAGATTGTAAGGCATTTGTTTGTATTTGTTATGATTGACTGTTTGTTTTCTCTTTCGATAAGTTATTTAGTTAAATAAATGTATTATTGTTATTTGTTGTAAAATTAGAGTGTATTTGATACGGACAATATTTTAAATTGACTTCGAAATAGGCTATATCGATATACTTTTAGCCATAGCCCCTATATACAGATCCCCAGCAAATTTCAGCATTTTAAAAATGTTGAGCACGATTTTTAACTTGACTTTAATTCAGTAGTCGGCGATCCAAGATCTAGACATGTGTGGCCTTTAGTCCGTCTGTCTATTATAATTTGTAAATGCGATACAGGTGAATCACAACGAAATTTTGTGAGCCAAAGACGACTACTATTGTTCTGGTAAGAATTCTGTTAATTAACCAAACGCCTTTTGCTTTTTTTGCTGAACATCACGAAATTTTCCATTAGGAAGGGGATCTGGCCAAAGAGTAAGTACGACTAGATATGGGCAGAGGGTAAATACCCGGTAAATTGGGTAAATACCCATTTGTGGGTATTTATTTGGGTATTTACTATATTGAATAGGTAATACAACATCTTACACCCTATTTCCGGGTTTCTGTTATCAAATCGATTTAGAATGGATAGTTTTACAATACTTTAAAGACGTGGGTAAATACTTGGTTAAATACCCGTGTTTTCACCCAAAAATTGGGTATAAACTCATTAACATTTGATACCCAAAAAGAACACTCTGTGCCAAATTACAGCCAATTTGGTTGTAAAATGTGTCTAATAGACCAAAACTATCTTAAATCGGGAGATACGGTTATATGGGGGCTATATCAAAACTTGGATCCAGGGACCTCATTTTGAATTTCTAGATTTGCTTTGACATTAAAAACATGTATGCCAAATTTTGGCCGCCTATGTCAAGTGGTTCGGCAGTTAATGAGTTTATACCCAATTTTTGGTTAAAAACTCGGGTATTTACCCAAGTATTTACCCACGTCATTTAAGTATCGTAAAACTATCCATTCTAAATCGATTTGATAACAGAAACCCGGAAATATGGTGTAAGATGTTGTATTACCGATTCAATATAGTAAATACCCAACTAAATACCCGCAAATGGGTATTTACCCGGTAAATACCATCTCTAAGCATGACCGTTTTGACAAAGATCCGCGTATATTTTCGCGGGTCAAAAGATTTTTGTGTGAGAAATTACAAAACATGCGTATATATTTACTCTTCGAGGACATAGACCAGAGAAGTTGAAAATATATCGAAGAGGAGTGGTGGGCCTTTAAACTGATATTATATTTTGTTTGTATGGACGGCGCCAATAAAATAGACACCACAAATGAACCAAACCCGCTGTTTTTTAAAATACATTTGAATATTATGGAGTAATTTTTTAAATCGGGAAAACTTGACACGGAAAAGGTGCCGCAGTGGCGCTGTTGATCACGTATATGCCAAGAGAGTGCAAATATTACCCAGGCTCGAAATATAGACCCGCAGAAACTTAGAACTGGGTGGTAGTTGTGTTGGGTATCTTATAGTCGGCACCTTCCGACTATACTGCTCCGTTTACTGGTGTATTTATACTCTTCATAGTGTGGGTACAGGGTATTATGTCGTTGTGCATATTTTTGTAACAGGTAAAAGGAAACGAGGTAGGCGCATGTTTTCTTTTGAGAATAAGTGCAGAAACACTTTCTGAGTCGATTTATGCGGACATGCATGTCTGCCCATGTTAAATTGTAAACGAAGTATAGGTCGCATTTATTTGGGAAATATCGGTTCAGATTTAGATATAGCTCCCATATATAGTGTGGTCCGATTTTCAGTAAATGGTGCAACAAAGGCCAAAAATATGGCCGTTTGACACAAAATTTTTCACTACATTGCTCCCACATATAGTATACTGAAATGGTGCACTTAAGCTCCAAAATATGGCAGCTCCACATATAATTTCGTCCGATTTTCAGTAAATGGTATTTCAAGACCCAAAATATGGGCAATTGGAATAAAATAAACACAACGTTCTGTAATTAGTATAACATACTTTTTTGCAAATTTTCGCTGAAATTGGATCAGAATTAGTTAAATATCCCATATATAGTTTCGTCCGATTTTCAGTAAATGGTGCCGATTCGCACAAAATTTTACCCGTACTTAGTACAACCAATTATGTGGAAAGGTTCGCTGTAATCGATTAAGATTCAAATATAGCTCCCATAAACAAAGACCTAAAATATGGCCGATTGGCACACAATTTTGCACAATGTACTGAAGTTACGTAACGTCTGTCAAGTTTTGTAGAAATGTTAGTGTTCTCTGAAAAATGTGACGTCTATTATTAAACATCTGTTTAATATACCCAAAGTGGTGAAGGATATCATAAAGTCGACCCCGTCCGACTTTATTGCTTTCCTTACTGGTTTTTATTTGGTTTTCTTGAAGAAAATTATAGAAATCTCTCACCACAAACACTTGGCCCATTTGAGCCGCTAAATATTGACCGATGATCACCATAATAGTCATATATGTCGGTTAATCACAACCCCATCCTCGTGTAAGATTTCATCATGTAGAGATTGAAATTGAGGCCTCTTGGGCGACTGGAAAAAATCACAAGGGAATACAATTTTGATATCATTGGCTACCCTAAGTATTGACCTATCATTATGGCCAACTATAGGATTCGTGTTTGATCCGAACCGTAGTAATGGATTAATTGTCAGGCCGGTACATTGTCAAAACATAAACTATTAACAATAATCATTTTCTGCATAGACGTATGTCGTCCTTCATAAACCCGGAGTACAAAATCACAGTCTTTTCGACTAAAAAATGGGACTAAAAACTTCCAAATGCCGAAAATAGGGTGGTACCGTTATATGGCAGCTATACAAAAATACAATGCTCGATCTTAAATATTGCGATCTCTATCGTGCTTAATTTTATTTTTTTTACTTTTTTTAGGTGTTGCAATTGGAATTATTTGACACATATTTTCCATACTAGAAATAATTGAAAGCTCAATCTTAAATATTGCGACCTCTACGGAAGGGTAGACGGCCATTGTTAAATTGACATAGAATTATATTCTGATATTCGGAGAAGAATGACACTCCACTATCTGGTACAGGGTGCAACAGCCAGTTTTTAAGGAATCCAACATATCAGCATTCGATTTTATAACAAAACAATTTTATTATTCTAAAACAATCAAACTACATAATAACAACTGCACTGTCCTTGCGGATCATCCCTAGTATCTAAACATACATTTAATGACGGAAAATAGAAGCAGGCAAGTAGCTAGCACCAGGTGCAGAAGCAGCGGGAGCATCAGCAACTGGAGCTTGAGAAGCAAAGTTGATGACTGGAGCAACACCACCATTAATGTTGTGAGATGGACCACCCAAAGCATCGTATTGGTCTTGGATAGCACGTTGAGCGTTGGCAGCATCTTCAGGAGTACGATATTTGACAAAGTGAACTTCGGGTTTGTTGTTGTTACCGGTGTTGATGTTGTTCAATTTGTTAGCCAAATCGTTGAGATCAGCTTGTTTGTTGAGCACATAGATGGCAGTTTGTTGTTGGGCAGCTTGTTTGGCCAAAGCCAAGGCAGCTTCTTCCAAACCATTGTTTTCGGGACCCTTAATGAAGACAACACGGAGACCCTTCTTCAAGGAGTTAGCCAATTGTTCGGAGTTGGCGGGTTCATTGAAATCTTCATCGTTGGCAGAGAAAGTGTAGAATTCCTTTTCGAGTTCAGCTTGTGGGGCGAAAGAAGGAGCGCTGCTGGAACCTTGGCCTTCGTATGAGCCAACACCGCCATCATAGCTGGGAACTACGTTACTGGCAGAACCATCAGAGGCTCCAGGAGTGAATGATAATCCGGAGGAGGAGTGGCCAACTGGTTGATAGTTATAACCCAATTTATCGGCACAGGCAACAGCCACCAAACACAAGACAATAAAGGAACGCATTGTTGTTATTTTTATAGTTGCTTTAGATTAACTCTGTTTCTAATTGATGAAGTGTTCGTGGTTTTATGATTGACTGTTTGCAATGCTAGATGTTTATATATGTTTTAATTTTGTACGACGTAATTCGGAGATAATACCAGCAGATTATTAATTTATCAATACAATTTTAAAATCGGTAAGTCGTTGACCGAAAATAACAACAACCCAAATATTAAAGTTGCACATAACAGCCACTTAATGTTGGAAATGCATTGTAGCGGTTATAAAGAAATTGTTTCGTCGTTTTTTTTCTTCATCTTACAATTTGCTTAATTAGCAATTTTAGAGATAATAAAGATAATAAAATGCTACTATTTTTAGCTGAGGTGCAAAAACTGAAACATAATTATGTGTGAATATTTATAACAATTCATTTAACAATGCCGGCATTTTTAACATATTTTAATATTCATCTTTCATATTTTGGTATGCTTAGATTTAGCCGTATTCAAATATTTTCCGGAAATATGGAATTTTGAGTTATAGTTAGTGTAAAGAGTTTTGGCCGGCAAATTAGTAGCACGTCTTGTGCTAATATGTTATTATTGTGCAATACAGGATAACATTTAATTAAGAGACATTAAGAGACGTGTTCTACACAAAAGGAAGGAGAGCCTTCGCCACTGTACCCGGTCTGCTCACAATATACATTTACTTTTTGGTATAAGCCTGAAATCGCCTTTTGGGTTGATTTAAATTTAAATTCAATTTCGATGAAATTTGAACGGCTAATTTCATTCGCCTAATGTAGTTCCATATTGGTGATAATAGGTTCAGATTTAGATATAAGACATCTAAATAATATCGTCTTATTTCTCGTAAATGGAACACCAAATACCTGACGTTTTGCCGAACACATGTGAAATAACTTGTGTGAACAGTTTTTTTTCGGTTCCCATATATAATTTTGTCTGATTGCATGTGGAGGACTCTGGAATGACTATTTGTGTATCAAATCTGTTTAGATAAGGATACAGCTCCCATATACATGTTCATTCAAATTCAGATTTAGACAGATTTCCCATATATGTTCTTCTGGCACAATATGCAATGTCAATTGTTTCATTCAGAGCTTGTCCAAATTGTTAGGTGTTGATTCATACCTTCCCAGCTGGAGACAGCAGCACAATTGACCAGAAAATGTTATTTAAATAGAGAGTTTGGGATTGGGACTTTGTGCTGGTTAATGCTCCATTCTCAATTTTAGGTTTTCATGATTTTCATAGGGCTGGAATATGAAAACTAATGCATGTTAAGGTTTGTAACTTAACACAATAAGATTTAAAAGAAAAGAAAATTAATTATCAAGATTTGGTTGTTGTTGTGGTTTTTAGTGATTAAAGAAAAGTCCTTATGTTTGATGGCGGGTATGATAACTCCTCAGTGTAACATCGGAATCCGGAAAAAGCAATCGGAATCCGGAAATTGGACTAAATTAAATGTGTCTACATGTGAATCGACTTATACCCTCCACCATAGTATGGAAGGTATATTAAGTTTGTGTTTCCGTTTATAACTCTTCGAAATAATCATTTCCGACCCTATAACGCTTATATATTCTCGATCAGCGTAAAATTCTATTCTCCAAACGAATTTAGATAGATCGCCAAAATGTCAACCGATTTCCCTGAAATTTGGTACAATGGGTTCTTATTGGCTACATTTATCCACACACATGTCCTCGGTAACCTTCGCCAAATTCCATTTCGTTAAGCCACGATTTCAAAGGGACAACATTATGTAAATCGATTCAAATCAAATTATTCATTATGTTACAACACATAGCCTCAAGTGGACACTAGTTCATTATTTGGTGGACAATTAACATGAAGTCAGTCGAAAATATATATGGGAGCAATATTTACCTCTGAACCAATGTTTACAATACGTTATATTCTAGGCTCAATTTAATACCTTAACTGAACACATATTAGGCTATATTAACTTAAGAACTTAGTGTAAAATGTTGTGTAAAATCGGAAGATTTTTAGGGACTTTGGTGCAGCATTTACCTTAAATCGGACGAAAATATATGTGGAAGCTACATTTAAATCTGAACCGATTTTTACGAAACTTTGCACAAATCGAAATATACATAGGGACTTTGGTGCGCCATTTACCTTAAATCGGACGAAAATATATTGGGAGCTATATCTAAATCGGAACCGATTTCAATAAAACTTGGCACGTTAGACTATCCTATCTTCAGTACGTTGTTCAAAATTTTGTACATTCGTCCTAAATTTGACTCTTTGGCGCACCATTTTTTTTTAAATCGGACGAAACTATATATGGGATATATATCTAAGTCTGAATCGATTTTTCTCAATTGCAATAGGGTTCGTCCTTGAGCCAAACAAATGGGATGTGCCATTTGTTTGGCTCCCGTACTTTGTTTACAATTTAACATGGACAGACAGAAATACGGACATGCATAAATCCACTCACAAAGTGATTCTATGCACATTATCAAAGGGAACCATGGGTCTATCTCGTTTGAGAATCACTCTTGCCGTCACATGATGCTGACACAATAAATGGGCTATATCTTCCAAAGTTCTTGAGATATTCACTTGAAATTTTGTAGGGACATTCTTGAATTAGTGAAGATTCGAATTATATAGAAAAACTAAATTAATTTTTTTGACACTTAAAATGGGGGGATCCCCTTTATTGAATTTTTGTAATTTTTTGGATTGCTATACTGTTTGAAGAATGTTCAAGATCTTACAACGTCGTGTCTTTGCGCTTGATTATCAGAATTATTGTTTACCAATCAGACATTGGAAATGGTTAAATTTGGATTCCTCTGACCACATTTCACGTTACCAGTCGTCCATAATATAGCATCCCAAAAATTTTTATTAACCAGAAATTCGAAATACAAAACAATTGTCACTTTAGTCGGAAAATTTGGCTAAAATCTTCAGCGGCCCTTTATATGGGGTCTTTGTCAAAATGGAAAATTTGCGATGTTCGACATATAATTGTGGCGTCTATAGCAACTAGAAAATCCGACAAAAATAAAGTTTTCGATTCACTTCATCCCCGAAATATCATCTGATCATCATTAAAAATTATAGGCGTCTTCCTTGACCATAACCAGAACCTCATGTCCTCTAGTGTGGTTATGGTAATACTAAACAATCGGGTAATACTAATACCCCCCTAAATATTTAAGTATAAATCCCCTATCCGAGTACATACGACCATATAAATGGTATCAATTTAAAGGTCAACCATTCCCTTTGGATATACCGTCAACTTCTCCAGTCTATGTTCTTCAGGAATAAATACGTACGCCATACATAAGTCCGAGCCCATTTGACCCGCTAAATGTTGACCTATTTTCATAGCATATAAAGCCACGCATGTTTTTTGGTCAGATTCCTTTCCTCGTGTAAAATTTTCTGGTGTTCGGATAAAAATTGTAGCCTCTAGAGCGACCAGAAAAATAGTGGTCTTCCATCCTACATGAAAAATTTCATGACGATTGGTCTATAACTGCGGCCTGTTTCGTGTATACAAATTACATTGGACAAACGGACGAACACTAGATCGACTAAGCTAAAAGGAGGGTCTAGGACCAATATTTTACGGCGTTACAAACTCTTAGGGTCATACAAAGCTATGATACACTGACAACAGTGTTATGTAGGGTATAATAAGAACGATTTTTAAAGGTTACATTCGTATCGTATCCCAGCTCATACGATAGGTATGTTCGTACAGAGTAATTTGATAAAATTTAAAACCGATTGGATTATACGACTTTGAGTAATCGTGCCCGCTATTCGTAAAAACACTGTTTCGAGAAAAACACGTTTACATTTTGAGATGCCCTCTTGCCGGCGCTTGATCCTGACACAATAAATCAGCTGTATCTTCTTGGATTGTTCAGATTTCCACTTGAAACAATTTACAGAGACATTATTGAGACATTAGTGTAAGCCCAAATCCAAAATAAAATTAAAATTCAGTGTTTGGAAACTGGGGTCCTCTTAACTGATAATGCAATATCGTTGCCGTAGGATAGAGACAAACTGAAACTTTTATGTGGGAATGTTATCAAAACGAAACGTGGACTTATATAGACATTTTTCCGCTTAAAATTGGTTCACCCTCCAATATCCCGCAATGTAAAATAGCCGCCACTATAATGGGAAATCAGGCTAAAACCTATAGAATACAGACAATGTGGCGCTACACTATATAGCCTCCATATAGTTAACATATATAGAGAAACATTTACTTGACTATATTATTCAATCGTTATCCTTTCCATGAAGTGAAGTAAACTGACACTTGTAAATATTAAAACTACAACATTTTAAATTCGAATTAAACAACAAATAACAACTTTATTGTTCTTTAAATCTAACAAACAACAAATCGATTCGAAACTCCTTACCCTCTTAGTGACGGAAGATAGAAGCTGGCAAGTAGCTAGCACCAGGAGCAGAAGCAGCGTGAGCAGCAGCAACGGGAGCTTGAGAAGCAAAGTTGATGACTGGAGCAACACCACCATTGATGTTGTGAGATGGACCACCCAAGCTATCGTATTGACCTTGGATAGCACGTTGAGCGTTGACAGCATCTTCAGGAGTACGATATTTGACAAAGTGAACTTCGGGTTTGTTGTTGTTGCCAGTGTTGATGGTGTTAAGCTTGTTGGCCAAATCGCTGAGGTCAGCTTGTTTGTTGAGAACATAGATGGCGGTTTGCTGTTGGGCAGCTTGTTTGGCCAAAGCCAAGGCAGCTTCTTCCAAACCATTGTGTTCGGGGCCCTTGATGAAAACGACACGGAGACCCTTCTTCAAGGAGTTGGCATATTGATTGGAGCTGGCGGGTTCATTGAAATCTTCATCATTGGCAGAGAAAGTGTAGAATTCCTTTTCGAGTTCAGCTTGTGGGGCGAACGAGGGAACACTTCTGGAACCTTGACCTTCATAAGAACCAACACCACCGTTGTAGCTGGGAGCGAAGGAGCCTTGGCTTTCATATGAACCAACACCACCATTATAGCTGGGGGCAACGGAACCTTGTTGAACTCCATAAGAACCAACACCACCAGTATAGCTGGGAGCTACATTGCTGGCAGAAGCAATTCCAGCACCAGGAGTGAACGATAATCCGGAAGAGGAGTGTCCAACGGGTTGATAGTTATAACCCAATTTATCGGCACAGGCAACAGCCACCAAACACAAGACAATAAAGGCACGCATTGTTGTTCTCTTTGTAGTTCTTTTAGATTAACTCTGTTTCAAATGGATGAAGAGTTCGTCAGATTATGATTGGCTATTTGCATTAGTAGGTGTTTTTATATGTTCAAAATATTGCACAGCATAATTCTGTGAAAATACCAGTAGATTTAAATGCTGGTCATAAAAATTTATGACACTTATATTTCATTCTGTTGACGACGTCAACCACAAGAAATGACAGTTAGTCATTGCTTTGGAACAAAGTGGCATAATATATTGTTATGAGAAGAATTTTTAAGATTTATGTTTGTGCAGAATAGGCCAATAACAATATAACTGTTAAGAATTATAATAATAATAATTTTTGATTTATATTATAATACTCATATTATTTTTAATATTCTAGTTAGTTTAATATAGTACAATTCAGCGGGTGGTATTTTTTACTGTAATATCATAACATTTTTCGGATAATAATTTTTTGATTGAATACTAAATAAATATATTTTGGTTGTATGAATTAAATCTGAAATCTAAATCTAACCTATTTAGAAGATTTTTTTTACAAATTATGTCCTTAAATATTGGTTCAATATTCCTCGACGCCAGCAAAGACTTGGTGTTATCTAGATTAGAATTATATACAATTTTTTATTCCCTTCGCCATACTGTGTCTTTGTACATGTGTTTGTTACAGGCAAAAGGAACGGAGATATGGATAGAACCAAATTCGAGTCCGTCAATCTGCTGATGTAAAATGATAAACAAAGTACAGGTCACATTTATGATCCCATTGAAAAAAATTGATATTGGAGCAAATCGGTTCTGATTAAGATATAGCTCTCATATATAAATTCTCCCGATTTCGTGTAAAGTGTGCACAAAATTCCACATATTAGCCGGTTGCATTAAATAATACATAGCGTATTGAATTTAATTAAGAACAGTGTGTGTTAACGTTCTTTTAAATCGGATCAGATATAGACATAGTTTCTATATATAGTTTCGTCCAATTTTATGTGAATGTGACACCAAACGAATACCGAATCGTGTATGCCAATTTTTAAATCGGCACAGAGTTACACATAACTCTCGTTGATTTCTTACAAATGGTACACTATATACCCCAAGTCCGTCTGATTGCATGGACTTTTGCATAAATTTGACATGCTTGTGTACTTAGATTGGTACATTTATCTATCTATATCACATATTTCATTTAGTCCGATTCCATATCAATTGTCCTCTAAAGATGTCCGTTCTATCGACAGATATGTATCTGTGGTGAAGGATATCATATAGTCTGGCCCGTCCGATTTTTGTATGTTCCTTACTGGTATTTCTGTAACTTCAAGACATAAGACTTGTGTCGGATTGTCCTTTGAATAGAAACCTTTAAAGTGTCTTTTATGGATCGAACAACAGGCCTTCTGCAGACAGAGGAACTTTGAAATATATTTTATGATCAGAAAAAAATGTTTTTTAAATAGAAGGCCTTTAAAATGTTGTCTATACCATGAAAACGTATCTCAATTTTTCTCTAGCTAGAATGCATACATCAGCATTCTATAACCAGAAAACATCCTCTAGGTCTTCTGTAGCTTTTCGAATTTTCCACAAGAATCCTACAGTATGAAGACTTAACTCAATCATTCAGTACCTTTCTTTAGGACTTCTATACTTAAAGTCCTATCTAAGTTTATCTCTCTAGTTGGAATACCTATCTAAGGGTTTGAAGTTAGATGACCATGTTTTTGGTACTTTTTTGCTAGAGTACCTACAAATAACCCGATAAAAGTTTACTAGCTATATTTGGCCACATAATGGTCTTTTGGATATAGAAGTCCTGAAAATGGTCTGAGAAAGCTCTTATGGTCCTGAGAAAGCTCTTATACATATAGAGAATTTGAGAAAAGTATTCCAGTTATAGAAGACGGGGAGAAGAAATTAGGAATAAGGTCGTCTAGCTTTTAAAGACTTAAGAAGTGTGTTCTACATAATACCTGCAAAAAGTACTTTACCTCTAGGAGGTCTGAGAAAGGTATTCTGGCTATAGACGAACTAGCTTGAATCACTCAAATCTCATATAGGTACAAGAGCTTTCTCAGGTATAATAAAGCTAGTAGATAATTTTCAGGCCTAAAATAGCTAGACCACTTTCTTGGGTCTTCTAAAAAATAACCTTGGACCGCCATTTTGCAAATTTTTGTGCCAAGTCAATAATCCTAGTTCATACCAGAGCCAGACATAAAGTCTTTTTACTTTGCCCTTAACATTGTTTCGAGAAAAACACATTTAAAGTTTGAGAAGAACTTCTTATGCTGACAAAATAATTCGGCTATATCTACAATAGTTTTTGAGATTTTGCCTTCAAAATTTTAAGGGACATTCTCGAAAATTTGCACATTGTACCGAAATGAGTTAATACACAATTATATTAAGCTTTTGGGAAATCGGTAAAGAATTCGATGTATTAACGATCACAACGACATTTTGCGTAGCGTATCGATTTGAGTCTAGAATCAATTCTGTTAACGGAGTAAGGTATCATACAGTGGGTACCGTCCGATTTTTGTGCTATTTTGCTGCTATTTGCTATTTTCTGCTATTTTCTCAAACATGGCATTTACTAGATTTATAGTTTCCGCAGTACAGCATATTATCAGTATAGTCCTAGATCCCAGTAAAGTCTACTTTTTCTGATTTCCAAATAATTATGTATTTAAGATTTACAAATTCATGCCCATTTTTATACCCTTCACCACTCTGTGATACAGGGTAATATGACTTTGTGCACATGTTTGTAACAGGCAAAAGGAAACGTGATAGACCCATGGTTCCTTTTGAGAATATGCATAAAATTACTTTCTGAGTCGATTTATGCATGTCCGTCCGTTCGTCTTTTGGTGTTAAATTGTAAACAAAGTAAAGGTCGCATTTATGATCCGAATTGGACGAAAATTTGCATAGGTCACTTATTTGACCCAAGGACGAACCCTATTGAAATTGGGAAAAATCGGTTCAGATTTAGATATAGCTCCCATATATATTTTCGTCCGATTTAATGTAAATGGTGCACCAAAGTCCCTATATGTCTTTCGATTTGCACGAAATTTGGCATAGCGTACTGAATTAAGTCTAGAATGATGTGTGCTAAGTTTCGGTTCAGATTTGGACATAGCTCCTATATATATTTTCTTCCGATTTTATGTAAATTGTGATCTAAAGAACAAAAGTTTGTCCGAAGTTAGATATAGCCCGCATATATTAGGATTCATCTGTTGAATATACCCAAAGTGGTTTGCCTTTAAAATTCCAAACTTCCTTAACGGATTTAATTTTTAATTCCATTGTTTTATATAAAATTAAATTCTTTCATATTTAATCGGTATTATATTCGATAAGAATCGCCATAACAATTTAGGTCAATATATCATTCTCAATTATGAAATCACATTGATATCGAAATATGAATATTAAGAAAATAATAATCCTTAATTTATCGCCATTTATGGTTAATATTTTATTGATCGTTTGATTTCAATGATCAGTGAGATGTCGATTGTAGCTTATTTATATTATAATTATTATTTTTTGTTAACAAAAAATGCTTTGAAATCAAAATGATATATACCGCCAGATTTCTAATCACTTAAAATATTATCGGAATTGGCAATTTTATTAATTACGGGAGATTTATTTTTTTCTTTTATGTCTGGCGCCAAAATATGTTATACTCTGCGCATCAGCGATATACCATTTTGTTTCAATGTTTTAATCCGACAGGTAAGCATTAATGACCAATTATCACAAAGTAATACCATGACATGCCGCATCGGTCGTCAGACATATTTGTTTGTGGCCAGTCTATACCATATTTGATGATTCATTCCGATTTCATTGCGGTTTCTTGTGATATTTGATAGTAAGGTCATCATTAACTATTTGAAAGAAGATAATAAAAGAATCGTTGACGTAAGCAATAGTATTATGACTAAATTGTTAGATGTGGTCAGTATTATGTATGTATTATATTATTAAATAGAATAATTAATTATATATTATAAATATTCAATAGGTCATGATATAATAATCATAATAGTGAAATTTAACCATTTTGTTGAACTGTTTATGTTATACCCTACCCTATATCAGGTTGGGATGGAAGTATTGGATTTATGTCCTTCAAACCACCGTCCTACCAAGTATTCATTCTCATACCTGCAGCGGGCCTAGGTAGGGATTATCACACTAATCTATTATAGGGACCTTTAGATTTTTTTTTTTCGGGTGGCGTAGGGGATGATAGATACCAAGCAACGGCTCTGATTGGCTTTAAAATGGCGAAGCCCAGGCTTATCTTGGTCCCTCTTTCATCTCAATTGTGGACACTGACCTCCCCGCGGTGCCACCTGGGGAGCTATTCTCATCACCCGATGAAATAGTGAGCTAATATGTGCCGCGAGTTCACCCATAAGAACTATAAAAAAATGGGTTGAGGCGTCGGGTTAGTTGCCCACTCTCGGAAAACCCAACCTACTATGAAAAAGCAAAGAAAAAGAAAACCAAACCCCCCTAATGTTGACGACCCCCGCAAACGTATAAAGGACCACGATCTGCGAATCTGCACTTGGAATGTGCGCACGTTGTACAGAACAGGGGCAGTGTTCGCTTTGGCGGATATACTCAAGAAGTACAAAGCCGATATTATTGCCTTACAGGAAATGCGATGGAAAGGGACAGGCGTAAGTAAATCAGACGATTACGCCCTGTATTATAGCTGCCATGAAACGAGACATGAATTTGGCTGCGGGTTTATGGTTAACAGGAGAATAAAAGACCTTGTCTCCAGATTCACTCCAGTAGATGAGCGAATTGCTATAATCCGTATAAAAGCGAAGTTCTTTTACATCAGTCTAATTTGCGCCCATGCTCCGACCGAAGATAAAGATGAACAGAACAAAGATATATTTTACGAGCGCCTAGAAACTGCATATGACCGTTGCCCTGGCCATGACATT